ACAGTCATGAGCCTGGAGAGGGCAGAGGGTCGATGTATCTGCATTACCTGACAGAGAGAATTTTGATAACAACACCGGGCACTTGTACAGCATTTACCACTTCCCCAGCTCCTTGCAAGACAGGCAAGGAGTGCTCTTGGACGTGTTACAGCTGTGGAGCATCAGGGAGAGGGATGGAAGTGACTTGCCAAGGCCATTCAGTGAGCGAGAGGCAGTGAAGAGAGCAGAATTTGTCAGTCCCTGACTTCCAATCCCATGTCTCATGCTGCTCCCCTGTGGCTCCCCAGGGAAGTTTTACAGGTGACTGATTGGTTAACAAGTCCCAACCTGTGCAACTACAGTGGGTGTATCACCACTTCAAAAAAGGTCAACCCATCCGTTCTCCCCTTGTAATGCCCATTTTAGTTTTAGGGAAACCAAACATTTCTCTCATCTTGTCCTCTCAGAATAATGTGTCAGCTGAAGACACCTTGGCACAGCTACACTTTGCTCTGAAGCAGTGGAAATCAGAAGCAATCTTTATAGGAGTAGCTTTCATTTCTTTCATGAGGGAGAGCACTGATCTTTTGAGAGGAAAAAAAGGATGGATATGTTTTCACACAAACTGATCAAACTACTTTTCATTCTAAACGAATACAAGACTGACTGAAAGTCTCAGGTGTACTAATTTTTTTTCAACAGTCACCCAGGTGTACACCAGAAAGCTAGAAGCTAATAAGATAGTTATCCAGGAACATCAGGAGGCATTTTCCTTCCCTGACAGGCCTTCACTTCCACCAGCTTAGAGCAAGAGCACTTAGAGTGACATCTGAAAGGACTTGTAAACATCATGAGAAAAGCATCTCTGCTATTTCCCCATTAAAGCAGTCCTTTCTCCAGCACACCAGGAAGCCAACAAGGAAAACCAAGCCTGCTCCATCCTCGCCTCAAAAAGGTGAATTTGCTTACTTCTTTCTTCTCCCACTGGGTTTCCTCTGCAAAATGTTAAGAGGCAGGATCAAACATGTCAATCATTGGGGTGGAGCCTGGCAGAGATTCCAGGGGCAGTTCAAGTGCTGGGAAAGGCTCACAGAATAAGAGAGGCTGCACTCAAGAGCTGGCTCAGCATCCTCCTCTTCATCTACACAGCTCAGCTGCCCAGTGCTGGCAGGACTGTGCCCAAGGCACAGGCTAGAAAGGCCCTTCCCAATTCAAGGAGCCATAACCACCTGAGTAATTCCTCTCCTCTCCTCTCCTCTCCTCTCCTCTCCTC